GCACGGGGATAGGAGTAAACGAGAGAGAAAACCACCTCTGCCAGTTCTCAATCGCTCAGCTTGTGATGCCCCCAATGACCGCCGAGTCCTGCCCGAGGACCCGGACAAGACCTGCTGTGCAGAGCCCGAGACAGCTGGCCCTCAGCTCCAGGCGCACTGGTGAGTGGACCGGCGCCTGTCACTCTCCAGCCTCACCTCTCGCCGAGCACCAGCGGACAGCCACAGGCCCCTGGCCCTGTCCGCACACGCTGACCCTTGCAGTCTCACTGTGTGCTTTCCGAGCCCTGTTCTGTGAGGTGCTCCACTAGGAGGTAGGAGTGCCTTTTATTTTATTGATCTTTTTTGTTAATCTGCACCCAAAAATATTTTTTTTTCCATTTAGAGAGTGCAAGGGAGGGAGAGGGGGACAGAGAAAAACTTTGATTTGAGAGAGAAATATCGATTGGTTGCCTCCTGCACGGGGCTCCAACCCGGGATGGAACCTGCAAGCCAGGCTCATCCCCTTGACTGGGAATTGAACCCGAGAGCCTCTGGTGCAGAGGCCAAACCTCCAACTACTGAGCCACCAGCCAGGGCTTTTGTTTTTTTATTGATTGATTGATTGATTAGAGAAACACCGATTTGTTGTTCCACTTATTTATGCATCATTGGTTGGCTCTTGTACGTGCCCTGACGAGATGGAACCAGCAAGCTTGGTGTATGGGGACGATGCTCCAGCCACCCGGCCAGGGCTAGCAGAAGCTCGCCTTTCATACCTTTACTCCTTCCCCCTTCTCTACCCGACAACTGCAGGGACTCTGGCCCCGCTTCGCCTGGCCACTGCTCCACAGCACCGCCCGCACCTGTCTCCGCGGCCTCGAGGACATTGCTAGAGGTGTCAGAAATGCGGGAACGGAGACCCAACCCAGACCTCCGGAATCGGAATCTACATTTTAACTGGGGCTGGATGGATGCATGCAAGTTCACGTTCGAGAAGCACTGCCATGCAAGACTTAACCCACACACTGACCATCCTGATCCTCACGGAGCAGGACGTGCAGTATCCCCACAGCCCAGGCGGCCGCGGGCAGACCAGCGACGGCGAACTGAGCTTGTGAGCCGGCCCCCCGCGCGGCCACACCTTGCTCCACAGCCTCAGCGCGAAGTCCCGCGCCGGCCCGCCGAGGTCCAGCGTGTCGGTGTCCCGCAGGCGCTGCAGGAACTCCTCGGCCGAGCCGCAGCGCCGCGCGGTGCCGATCAGGAACTGCGCCACGTGCCGCTCGCTCAGCCCCAGCACCGCGTGCAGCTCGTCCTGCACCCAGCGCTCCAGCGCCGCCGGCGTCGCCATGGCGACCGCTCCCAGCCGCGCGGCGCCGGGCGGGCGGAGGCCTGGGGCCGGCCGGGCCCAGGGGCCGCGCGGCGCCGGGCGGGCGGAGGCCTGGAGGCCGGAGGGGGCCGGCGGCCGCGCAGGAACCGCCAGAGCCCCCGAGGCTTCGGTCTCCAACAGCCCAGAGCCGCCTTCTCAGCCGCGGAGCTTCCGGCAGTGCTCTTCCGGTCTGAGCGCGACGGTGGCCGATAGAGTCCAAGTCTCGCGGAACGTCCGGTAGTTCGCGTGAATCCTCCTTTCCCGCCCCACAGAGTCTGTGTCGCCCCCAGATGGTCAGCCCGCGGATGCTCCACTCAACAAACGCTGACCGTTCATTCAACAAACGCGGACGCCTAAGGTGCTGGACACAATTTTAGTCGCTGGGGATACAGCGAAGAACAAGTCAGACCAAAATCCCTTACCGCATTTACATTTGCGAGGAAGATAAAATACATAATAAATAAAGCCTGTAAGTTCTGTGGAGCCCCTCCCCCCCCCCCAAAAAAAATGCAAGGAAGATGTGTTTGGGATTCCATTTCAAATCAGCCCATACTGATTAGAAGTGAGCTTGCTCGTACCCCTGTCTGCAGCAGCAGTGAGTAAGGTGAGGCCTTACAGAAGGAAGCTGGGCCCGGGGGGAACGGTGCTTTGCTTTTCTTGCCACTGTCTCTGGGAGCACTTTTAAAAGCCCCCGAACTAGTCTGGCGGCTGTGGCTCAGTGGCTGAGTGTCAGCCTGTGAACCAGGTCAGGATTCGATTCCCAGTTGTGGGCTTGACCTCCAGTAGGGGGCCTGCAGGAGGCAGTCAACCAATCTCTCATCATCAATTTCCCCCCCTCTCCCCGCCTCTCCCTTCCTCTCTGAAGTCAGTAAAAGTAAAAGACCTCCGGATAAGGCATGGCCGAGCTGTGCTCTGCATGTGTGCTAGCAGCTTGAGAAGTGCACTGGCGGCTGCGTATTTACCAGTGAGCAGACCTGGTTAGTCGACTCTGCTGTCTGACCTTTGTTTGACACTGCTTCATACTTTGATTAATTGGACTTATCAGACACTACTGTTGAGAAATGAAACATTGTTATTCCAATTAATAGCTACTGGTAATTCCATATTATTGACTACTTGGATGCATTGTTTTTGGTTGCGTTATTTTTTATTTCTGAGATGGACTGTGGGCATCCTGGCATCTCTTGGCCTCCTGCTTCTACTTTCTTTTTTTTTTTTTTATATATATTTATTTTTTACAGAGAGGAAGGGAGAGTTAGAAACATCGATCAGCTGCCTTTTTGCACAGCCCCCCTTGGGGATGTGCCGGAAACCAAGGCACATGCTCCTGACCAGAATCGAACCTGGGACCTTTCAATCTGCAGGCCAACGCTCTATCTACTGAGCCACACCGATTTCAGCATGCCTCCACTTTTTTGGGTTAAAACAGATTAGGATCTTTACCTAATGAGCTAGTAACTTAAGGATTCTGTTACCCTCCATACCCACAGCCTCTCTGAACTGGCTAATTCTTTTGACGCTTTGCTTGTCCCACTGCTGGTAAATTAAAGGCTGGTGGCGTGTTTAGATCAATTTGTCTAATAAATCGCCGAAACCGGTTTGGCTCAGTGGTAGAGCGTCGGTCTGTGGACTGAAGGGTCCCAGGTTCGATTCCGGTCAAGGGCATGTACGTTGGTTGCGGGCACATCCCAGGTGGGGGGTGTGCAAGAGGCAGCTGGTCGATGTTTCTCTCTCATCGATGTTTCTAGCTCTCTGTCCCTCTCTCCTCCTCTCTGTAAAAAATCAATAAAATATATTTTTTAAAAAAAAATTTTGTCTAATAAATCCTGTTTTTAGGGGGGGGTCCCTCTGACTGGACTGAGAAGCGCCCTCTATGGACAGGACCATACCTACCAAGCATGTCTTCCTGACCCGAGAACTAAAGCACTGACCTGTAAGTGAAGTGTAACCGCCCACATTTGTGGAAGATAGAGTTCTTTGAAATGGGAAAACCTCCCAGTATATACTTGGGCGGCAAAGCCATAAAATAGCAATGGATTTTTTTTAAAATCCTCACCTGTGGACATGCTATTGATTTTAGAGAGGAGAGAAGGGGGAGAGAGAAACACCGATGTGAGAAACATCTATCAGTTGCCTCCCGGACACACCGACGGGGGTTTAACCACAGCCCCTCGGTGCTCGGGATGGAGCTCCAGCGACGAGCCGCCCGGCGCCGCTGGCCCTGGTCTGCGGACGTGCTGCCGCCAGCCCTGGCTTTTGTGGCGGGGCCTGGAGGAGGCCTCGGGGCTGGCCAGGGGCACACGGCCCGCCCTCGAGCTGCCGCTGGCCTCTGGATGCTGGACTCTCCAGTACCCTAGCTCTTCTCATCTTCTGGTTTGTTTACAGAGTCCTTCCTTCTAGAAATAACTGTTTGTCTGCAAGGTGCCAGGCGTGGGGTCGAACCTAACAGGTATCTGCCCTCATTGCACTGGCCGCATCTGGCAGACACTTCAACTGACCTTCCTCAGACCAGCCTGAGAAGCCCCGGGGCCCCAGCCTCCTGCAGCAGTGCTGAGCCCTCACCGCCACAGCACCCACTTCCTCTCCGTGGCCGCGGGAAGATGGCAGAGGCTTGGAAGAGCCAGAACCGCCACATACACTTTTTTTTTTTTTTTCCTAAAGAAGGAGAAGCAACAAGAGAGTTGGAAAGAACTCCACTTTATTATGAAAAATTGTTTTTGTCTTTTTAAAAACAAACAGGCAGTTGGTAAGGAAGGAGAAGCGGGGGAGAATTGAGGTTCTTCCTTAGTCACACCAAACCCTTGCAATTCAATTCACGTGTGCGCCGTGAGGACAGAATTAAATAACCAGATGGGGCACTGAGCTAAGGTCCCAGCCTTCCCTCTGGGGAAACGGAGGCCGAGTAATACTGAGCAAACGTGCAGGAAGCCACACCCCGGAGCATTCCCAACGAGGTGACTTCGGGGCCACGGAAGAGGGTCCACAAGTCACGGAAAATGGGTGTGGCTTGTAAACCTGGGACCTGGTGGGAGGGGGAACTGGGGGAGTTTGTAAACCAGGTTATGGTCAAGAGAGGAGGCAAGAGCCACTAGTGTGGCTCAGTGGTTGAGCATCAGCCTATGAACCAGGAGGTCATGGTTCGATTCCCAGTCAGGGCACATGCCCTGGTTGCAGGCTTGATCCCCAGTGGGGGCATGCAGGAGGCAACCAATCGATGGTTCTCTTTCATCATCCTTGATGTTTCTATCTCTCCCTCTGAAATCAATAAAAAAATATTTTTAAAAAGAGAGAAAGCAGGAGCTGCAAATGAAGGGCAGTGCCTAAGGAACAGGAGAAAGAGGAGCCGGTAAGAACTGGGCGTAGGGAGGAGTACTGTGCCCACGGAGCTGGAGGGCTCTCCTCCCCACCATCCTGTGAGCTCCGCCTGGGCACTGGGGTCACCGAGCGAGTATGCCCACATCTGACACTCACTGGGGACTTGGGTGAGTGGCATTTGGGCTCTGTCCTCAGAAACAGGGTGAGGAGAGCTGGCTGGAAGACGTTGGCTGTCCTTCCCTGCCAGGCTCATTTTCAGGGCCATCTGTTCCGAATCTTCTGGGATCCAGGATCTTCAGTTCTGGGAAGGAGGAAGGTGTGTCCCTGTGTTGGAAGAGGGTCACCGCCGGCAGGACTCGTCTGTGGGAGAGGAGGCAGTAACCGGGAATGAGTGCAAGCCTCTGCCTCGGACCTCCCCCACCCTCCCCACCCTGCGGGGCCCACGGCACCAGGAAGTGTCTAATATTGTCCGCATTTTGAGTGCTTCTTACTACCAGGAAACTTCATAAAAATTACTTAACCATCTCAGCAACTCCAGGAGATAGTCATTTTTAACACCATCTTAATAATAAATTGAGCTCAGGCCAGTGTGCTCAGTGGCTTTAGAGCGTCGGCCTACAAATTGAAGGGTCTTGGGTTCAATTCTGGTTAAGGATATGTACCTGTGTTGCAGGCTCAATCCCTGATTGTAGTCAGGGCACGTGTAGGAAGCAACCAATGTGTCTCTCTCACATCACTCTCTCATTCTCTTTCCCTTCCACTCTCTCTAAAATAAAATACTAAAAAATTGCCCTTGCTGGTTTGGCTCAGTGGATAAACCATTGGCCTATGGACTGAAAGGTCCTGGGTTCGATTCTGTTCAAGGGCACATGCCTGGGTTGAGGGTTCGATCAATGACTGTCATAGATGTTTGTATGTCTCTCTCCCTTTCCCTTCCTCTCTGAAAAGAAAAAATAATTTTTTTTCTTTAAAAAACAATTTTTAAAAATTAAAATAATAAATTGAGGCCAACCAGAGGCCACAACCGTAAGAGAATATAAAATTCAAACTCAGGCCTGACTGCCCCCCCGGGTGCTGTCACTCACACGGGAGCTCGGGAAGCGTGGTTCTGAGCTGCGTCCGGCCCGGGCAGCCCCTCTTCCTCCGGGACCGCAGTGCCCGCTCTGGACGCCAGGCGGCGCCGCACTCACCCACTAGCAGCGCCTTGGAGCGCAGCCCGCCCGGGGGCGCCGCCTGCAGCTCCTCCTCCTCGTCATCGTCGTCGTCGGGCTGGGCCGCGGGGGCACTGGGGGCCTCGGGCTCGGGGCCCAGCTCCCGCAGCACCGAGCTCTCGGAGGGGTACTGGTACGTGGTCTCCAGGGCCGTCTCGCTGAAGGAGATCTTGAGCTGGGGGGGGTGAGGGGAGGGATGGAGGCGAAGGAGGCAGGTCAGCGCCGGGCAAGGTGGGCGAGGGGCTGGACTGGGCGCCCCGTCTTCGCCCTGCCCCCGCATCTGTTCCCTCCGTCAGTTTCAACACCAGGAGACAGTGCGGCAGGGCAGAGGGGCGGGACGGCCCAGGTCCCCGCTTGCAGCGGGGGGCGGAGGGTAAGCACACGGTAACTCGTGGAAGGAAGTCCTCTGTCAGACTTGAGCGGCTGGGAGGGTCCGAGGAACAAACCAGGCAGACCCGCAGGAGGGCCCGGGCAGACTCCGCGGCACAGGGGAAGACAAGACCGAGTCCCCAAAGGTGCAGCTGGAAGGGGACCCCAGAGGAAAGTCCAGGCAAACCAGGGGGAGGAGAGCACTAGGCCAGCGGGCCGGACAGAACCCAGACAGAGACGCAGGGAGACTCCAGAACAGCCCAGCTGTTCCCGCAGCCTCTCCCCACGCAGCCCCGCCCCTCAGAAGCTCAGGGGAGAGGGGCAGCGTGGGATTCACTCAGAGCGAAAAACCAGGATCCCTGTGAACTGCTTCGAAAGGGCCACACCTGTCAGGCCTTCCAGCCCCTGTAGTGAGACACGGGGCCGTTCCTCCATCCCCGCCTCTGCAGATGGCTGCGAGCAGAGGAGCCTGGAGGTGCTGGACAGGAAGTTGCTAACATGGGTCCTCACTGCAGCATGAAACTCAGGGACTGTCACTCTTGCAGTGGCTCCCCATCTCACTGGGGACAAAAGCCAGAGCCTGACCAAAGTCTAGCAGTGTTTCCCAAACTTCTGACATAGGTGCACCCCTTCTATAATTTTCGTAACACTGAGTACCCCTCGTACTCATGAGAACGTAGAATTAAGCGCAGCCAAGCACGGTGCAGCAACGCGTACCCCCACCAGACTCTTCCCAACCCCTGGGGGGACGCGTACTACACTTTGGGAAACACTGGAGAGGATGCTGCCCACGCCACGCCCTCACCTCTTGGGCATCCTCCCTCCCGCACACAGGCCTTGGCACTGGCTGTCTCCCCCCACCCCTGCCTGGAACACCCCTCCCCAAACATGCCCAGTGCTTTCCTGCCCCCAACCACCACAGTCACACCCAGCCCCACCCAGCCCCGCTCCTCCTGGCCTGTAGCTTCCACCTGGTTTTCCTCTCCGGTGTCTTGTCAACAGGAGGATGGGAGGTGCTTTGCTGGGTAAAGCTCTGAGGGGCACGCAGAACCCAGAGGGGTCCCGGCAGAGGACCATGGCGGGGGAGCCCAGCCTGTGAAATGGCTGACAGAACTGGTGACAGCAACCGGACCCCTTCCTTCCAGACTTCTTAAAGGGGCATCTCTGCTCTGTTGCTGAAGATGTACCCACACTGGGAAACCCATTTCTCTTTTTTCATTTCCCCTTTCGGGAAAACAAGCTCTGCTGTTTATTAGGCAGCTGAGAAGGACCCGTTCCCTTTGCTTTCAGTCCATGCCGGACTCTCCCCACACGCTGCATCCCTCCCCCAACCCCAGCTTCTGACTGACTTCCCAGGAATGCACAGCCTGCGGGAGGGGGCGCGGGGTGACTCACTGGCTCACCAGCTATATAAGGTCCCGAGGGGCTGGAGGGAGGGGCTCTGGGCCTGGGGGCAAGAATAGGCTGATGGAATTAGCCCGCAGATGTTACTTAGGGGGGGCTCCATCCATGAGCTAGGGGCAGAGCTGGGACAGGGCACCGAGCCCCCAGCAGCCTGACTGAGCGAAGGGGAGCATGTGGGCCCAGAGCCTGCTCTGCCCCACCCCCAGCAGCTCTGCTTCCTCCTCTCACCACATCCTGAGCAGTGCTGGCAGGCAGGGCCGCGTCCCCACTCGCCCACCGCCTTCCGGCCCCCACCCCAGGCTTCCTGTTTGGGCGATCTGCCTCTGGCTCCCCCAATCCCTTACCCAGGTATGGTCACCACCACAGGTCCTGCCCTGCACCCGAAGGCCCTGGACTTTGGGTTCAAACTTCACGGTCCCTCTGCTCTTTCCACCCCAAAGCAAAGCCAGCTAACTCCGCAGGAAGTGACTTTTCTGAGCACTTGGCCCTGCCTTCCTGACCCCTCGCTGCAGGCTCGGGCTCGAGTAGGCGCTTAAGCTCCTTGTGATGGTGACCGGGGACAGAGGACCCCAAGCTGAACCTGGCCTGTGGTCCCTGAGGGTGTCCCATGTGGGATGAGGACTAGAGGCCAGGAAGGGCTTCCGTCTCGGGAACATGTACGAGCTGGAAGGGTCTGCGGAAGGGGTTGGACCAAGGCCAGGCCAGGGGAGCCCTCAGCCTGCTTCTCCCACTTTCCTGCACCCCCGATTCCAGTCCAACCTGTGACCCTCCGCTGGCCTTGGCCCCACCCTGTCCTCAACTCCCGTGGGACTCCCTGCTCTCAGCACTGCCTCCAAGTTCACTTCTCTTTTTCTACCCCAAGGGGAGGGGAGGCCCGGGAGCGGGGAACCCCAGGGTGAGCCAGTCCTGAGAAGGGCAAGGCCGGGAGGAAGGGGAAGGCGGGGGCTGAGAGGTCTTTGGCAGAGGAGAGAGGGAGGGAGGGGCGGGCTGTCGGGTGCAGCCTGAGGTCACCCACTCTGAAGGGCCTCAGTGTGCGTCTCCCAGGGGCAGACTCCTGTGCCAGCCCCCCTTCCCCCAGCCCAGGCCGCGCCCTCCAGCGCGTGCTCTTCCTTGGGATTCTCCGGCCTCCCTCCCCTCCTTCATTTCTCCCTAGAACCCCAAAGCCACCCCCTCTCCTGCCCCACATCTCCCTGTGAGGGCTCCTCGTCCTGTGACCCTGCTTGAGAATCAAGGTTGCTGGCCTGTGTCCCACCAGGGGGGCTGGCTGGCTCAGACTCAGAGGAAAGGAAGGAAAGAAACGGGGGCCTCAGAGCCCGAGGCAGCAGCCGGGGCACACCCTGCGACGCCCCAGGGGCAGCGTGGCCGTGGCCGTGGGCAGACACCCAGGGAGGCCGTGGACAAGGGCTGTGTGCGGGGGGGCGGAGGCTGCCACGGCGAAGGCCCAGGAGGCAGGGGCCCGAGACAGCCAGAGCGGGGGCGGAAGCCTGCGTGCTGCTCCTACCTGTTTGTGGTGCCTTTCCGGGGACCCCTTCACCAGGCAGCTGCGGCTGAGGCGGAGGTAGCCCCCCAGGACCGCGATCTCCTCGGCGGTGGGGTACCGCTTCTTCCCGGCCGCCGGGGCCGCGTCGGCGGGGGCGGGAGTGGCCGGGGCCGCGTGCGGCGCAGACCGCCTGGGGTTGACGGTGAAGGTGTGTCCGCTGCGGCGGGGCGCCCCCAGCCCCGGCCCTGCCTTCACCCCATAGAACAGCCGGCTCATGAGGGGGTCCCCGGGGGGCTGGGGGGCCGGCGGCGGGGGAGACAGAGGCGCGGGCGCGGGCAGGGGCCGCGGCTCCTCGGCTTCCTCTTCCTGCTGCCCCGCGTCCCGGGGCGGGAGGGGGCAGGGCCCGGCGCAGCGGCTCCGCAGCGGCCCCGGAGCCCCCGCCTCCTCCGCAGCCTCCACCCCGGGGGGCCCCGGGAGCTTGCCGGCGGGCTCCGCAGGGGCTGGCTTCCCAGGGGCGGGCTCCGCGTCCCTGGCTGTCCATTCTCGAGCCCTCCCAGAGTGCAGGGTCCATTTCCACCCTTCGGCCAGCCCGGGGTCCCCCTCCGCAGCCTCGGCGGGGCTGGGGCTCCGCTCGGCGGGCTGCCCGCCGTCAGGGCCGCCCGCGGCCTCTCGCGTCAGGGCCCCGGGCGGCCCCGGGGGCTCCTGCGGGGCCGGCCGGGGAGCCCGCGCGTCCTCGGGGCGCCCCCTGTCCGCGGAGCTGCCCGTCCCTCCTCCGGGGCTCAGGCTCCGCTCCGACGGCTCCGGCGGCCTCGCACTCTGCTCCCGGGCCTCCGCGCGGCCAGGCCTCCATGGCGGGGCCGCAGCCTCGCTCCCGCTCCCGCTCCCGGGGCTTTGTTCTCGAGGCTCCGCCGGGTCCGCTTCGCCCGGGCTCGGCGGCCAGCGCCGCGCCTCCGGCAGCCCCGAGGCCCGGTCCCCAGCCTCGCCCGGGCGCGGCCGGCCCGGGTGCCCCGCAGGCTTGGGGCTTGGCTCTCGGGCTCCCCCTGTCCCCGGCCTCCCGTCGCCGGCTTCCCGGGGGCTGAGCCGCTCTTCCCCGGGGCCGGGCTCCTGCATCTCCCCAGGGCTGGGCCTCCACTCCCGGGCCTCCGAAGGCCCCAGTCTCCTTTCCGCCGGCAGCTCGTCACTCCGTCGCTGCTGCTGCTGCTGCTGGCGCTCCTGCCGGATGAATCGGTTCTGGTGCACCGGGCCGATGGCCTCCCGCAGGACCGCCGACTGGTCTGGGTCTGGAGGCCCGGCCTCTGGAGGCCCGGACGCAGCGCTGGGCTCCCCCGGGCACAGACCGAGCTTGGCCCGGCGGCGCTCCAGGAGCCCCCGCTTCCAGGCTGGCATCTGGGACAGGCGCTCCCGCTCCGCCTTCTCGCGGCCCCGCGCGGCCGCCTCCTCCTGCCGGCGCCGGGCCAGCAGCTGGAGCTTCCAGTCGGGGATGGTGGCCATGGCCCGAGGTGCAGGTGAGGAGCACTGGAGGCAGAGGCAGGAGAGGCTGCTGAGGCGGGAGAGCCTGGACGGCGGGCGGGAGGACCGGCACTGAGGCAGGGGACGGGGACCAGGAGGTGAAGGAGAGGCCAGCAGATGCGAGGGGCGCGGCAGGGGAGGGGAGATTCAGATTTGGCAGCTCAGGGTTCAGGGTGCCAGCGACGTGAGGAGAGAAGTCGGTGCGAGGTGGGAGGGGAGAGGCTGGAGGCGGGGGCGGGGAGGGCGGAGGTCAGGGGGCGAGGGGCGGGGGGCGGGGAGGGCCAGGGCCAGGGGGCCCGGGGGCCCGGGGGAAAGGGCAACCAGCGGGCACAGCCGGGCGCCGCCGCGGCCCGAGGTCCAGGCTCCCCGTGCAGCTGTGCTGGGCGCCTCCCGCCGCCTCCGCCCCGGAGCCGGGGACTTCCCTCCGCGGGGACTTCCCACCCGGCGGCCGCCAGCGCGCCCGGACCCCGGCGCCCGCCTCCCGCCCCCCCGCGGTGCCCGGACCCGGGAGCGAGGACCGGCTCCGCCTCTGCCCCGACCGGGCATCCACCACAGACGCCGCCCGCCCGCGGAGGCCCTCGCTGCACTCACGCTGCGCCCGGAGGGGGGGTCGGCGGCCGGTCCGGAGGAAGGGGAGGCGGGAGGGACGCAGAGCGAACGGCCAGCGACCACTCGTCAGAGGACAATGGGGAGGATGGGGGCGCGGGGCGGGGCCGAGGAGGGGCGGGACCTGCTCCCGCCAACCCCGGGGAGCGGTCTCCGCCGCCGCCGCGCCCGGCCCTCCGCCGGCCCCCCTGCCGGCTCCCGCGGTCCCGGAGCCAGCGCGCTGCCAGCGCGGACCGGGCGGCGCCGTGACTCAGGCCCCTCAGGGGCCGGGGAGGAAGCGGCCCGCCTCCCGCCGCCCGCCCTCCCCCCCAGCCTCGCGCGGCGGCCTTTGTCCTGCGCTCCGAGCGCCGGGCCGGGGTCGCGGGGCGGCGGAGGCGGGAGCCGCAGCTCTGGGCTCGCCCCCCGGCGGCCCCTCGTGGCCGGGGCGGCCAGGCCCTGGGGAGGAGGGCCGGGTCCGAGGGCGCCGCCGCCACCCAGCGGTGCCGGGGCGAGGCGCGAGGCGCGGTTTGGGCCGCGGCTCCCACAAACGGCGCGCCAAGTGCAGAGAAAGGGCTGCGATTTATTTTCCCGCCACGCGTGCTCCTCGGAGGGCGGGCCTAGTCGCCGAATGAAGGCAGAGTCCGCCCGGCTCAGCTGCAGGACGGAACCAGGGCCTCGAGGTGCGGCCGTGCGGGGCAGAGGGGGACGAAGGGGACGCCGAGATGCAGGGCGAGTGCCCGGGAGTAGCCAGGCGGGACCCTCCCCCTGAGCTGTGAGACCTGCAAGCCCCCCCGCCTCCTGGCTGGCGAGGAGCGGGCCTGGGAGTGCTGACACTCGGGACTGAGGGCGCGGGATGGACGGGGGGTTGAGGGCGTGGAGTGGCTGGGACGGCGCCTCTGGTCTGAGCGAGCAGCCTGGGGCCCCGGGTTTGAATCCCAAGGGCAGAGGCGAGCAGGGCTGACACCAGGCTCCTCCTCACTCGGGCCCGCCCTCCTGGGGCCGGGAGAGCAGGTGCAGTTTTCTTTGCAGCTGGGCCCGGAGGTAGCAGAGGTCTTGCTGGTCAAGTCCGTGGGCCAGGCCCAGGTACAGAGTGAGGAGGAGGGCGAGGAGGAGCCGGTCGGTGCCCAGGGTGGGCACCACCCACAGCACCGTCAGCAGCTCCACGCACACGGGGTGGCGCAGGTGGGAGAAGAGCCTCAGAGCGCGGGGGGACTTCAGGGCCAGGGGCTCGCCCAGCCCTCGCACGTGGTAGTACACCTAGGAGAGGAGCCATCAGCAGCGGGGCCCACCTCGAAGACTCCCCTTCCAGGTCTTGGGCCCTGACCCTGACCTCCCTGCCGGGACCCTCCCACGGGCCCAGGTTTCTGGCCTGAGGCGAGGGGGGGAGAGTCTGGCACACAGGTGAGGCCGCCGTGGAGGGGAGCCTGGGCCGGCGAGGATGGAGCGCACCTGCTTGAGGCCCATGAGCTCCGCGTAGTCGAAGACGAGGAGGATGCTGAAGATGAGCAGCCAGGACACCACGTGCAGCACGAAGCACAGCAGGGGCACCCAGGTCGCCCAGGGCTCGGCCTGAGCGGCCCACAGCACAGGGCCTCTGGGGACGGGCTCCCAGCATCGCATCACCAGCTGCGGAGGATGAGAGGCTGGGACCTGGACAGGCTGCCCCACCCGGGGCCTGCAGCTCTCTCCCCATCTTTACCAAGAGCATCACCAACACTCAGCTCGCGGAGGTGCTGGGTGGGTTCCAAGGATATAAGGATGACCTGGATCTTCCAGGGGACTTACATGAGGTGAGCCTATGCCCAGCACCCACTGAGAAGACAAGCGAGTGCTAACTAGGAAGCCTGGCCCGAGACGGTCTGGCTCAATGGATAGAGCCTTGGCTTGCAGACCAAGGGTTCCGGGTTCAGTTCCTGTCAAGGGCAAGTACCTCAGTTCCAGGCTCCTCCCCTGGTACAGGCCCTGGTCGGGGCAAGTGCAGGAGGCAACCAATGGATACTTCTCTCACATCAATATTTCTCTCTTCCACTTATCTGAAAATCAATGGAAAAATATACTCAGGTGAGGATTAAAAAGAAAACCTATAGCCGAAACCGGTTTTGCTCAGTGGATAGAGCGTCAGCCTGCTGACTGAGAGTCCAGTCAAGGGCATGTACCTGGGTTGCCAGCACGTCCCCAGTAGGGGGTGTGCAGGAAGCAGCTGATCGATGTTTCTCTCTCGATGTTTCTAGCTCTATCCCTCTCTCTTCCTCTCTGTAAAAAAATCAATAAAATATATATTTTTTTAAAAAGAATAAAAAGATGCCGAAACCGGTTTGGCTCAGTAGATAGAGCATCGGCCTGTAAGGTCCCAGGTTTGATTCCGGTCAAGGGCATGTACCTTGGTTGTGGGCACATTCCCAGTAGGGGGTGTGCAAGAGGCAGCTGATTGGTGTTTCTCTATCATCTTTGTTTCTAACTTTCTATCCCTCTCCCTTCCTCTCTGTTAAAAAAAAAAACAAACAAAAAAAAACAGCCGAGACCGGTTTGGCTCAATGGATAGAGCGTTGGCTTGGAGACTGAAAGGTCCCAGGTTCGATTCCGGTCAAGGGCATGTACCTTGGTTGCGGGCACATCCCCAGTAGGGAGTGTGTGAGAGGCAGCTGGTCGATGACTCTCGCTCATCGATGTTTCTAACTCTATCCCTCTCCCTTCCTCTCTGTAAGAAATCAATAAAAATACATTTAAAAAAAGAAAAGAAAACCTATAATAAAAGCGAAATATGCTAATTTGACTGGACATCCTTTTGGATGAAGCTGTGGGAGACGAAGCTGCGGGAGACCGGGAGGGAGGCGCGGGCCTCTGGTAAATAATAAAAAGACTGACCCGGGAGCCTGCTCCTGGCGGTGGGGAGAGCGCGCGGGCAGCCTGACACTGGGGGGGCAGTGCGCGTGGCACTGGTGCTTGGGGGAGGACACGGTGCACCTTCTTGTTTATCCTCACGAGCACATTTTTAGAGAGTGGAACGAGGGCGAGACAGAGAGAAACAACGATGTAGAGAAACATCAACTAGTTGCCTCCGGGACTCTGTATGGAGGTACATGCCCTTGACCCTCCAGTCCTCGGGCTGACGTTCGACCCCGAGCCAAACGGCTGGGCAGTGCACCCTTCCGGATGTAAAGTAAGGTGTGCGCTGTGGGAACGGGAGCTAGATCAGAGTCTGAGCACCCTGCGCGCTCTAACCCACACTTCTGGGAGCCTAAGGTCCCTGCCCACCCCCGATCCAGGGCCTCCTTCCCAGACTCTCCCTTAGGGGCTCAGCTTCCAGCCGCATACCTGCAAGGCCAGCGCAGTGCAGGCCACGTACAGAGACCTCTGCAGAACCCCAAAGTGCCGAGACAGCCACACCTTCACCGGCTCAGTCGCCATGAGGCTGTGCTGCCCCACAAACAGCAGCAGGAGCCCCAGATCCCACGCCAGGGGAGCCAGGACGCCGCGGTCCTGAAAAGCTGCCAGCCAGCCCCGGGGCGCCTCTGAGGGGGGGGGAGAGGGAACACGGTGCGGACACCCGGCCCTCATCTCCGGGTCCCAGGCCGGGTGTCCGCACCGTCTGTACTAGCTCAGAGCCCGGCCCGGCCCAGAGCCTCTGCTGCATCTGCAGCGCCGCCTCGTTCCCCCTCGCCGTCCTCCCCTTCCCGCTGCTTCCGAGCCCGGAGGTTCCCGGGGCGCGGGGAGCCCCGGCCCGCCCCGCGCCGCCCAGAGGCCCCGAAGCCGCCCCGCGCCCGCCGCCCGAACCGCGGCCGGACTGCGAACGGAGCGCGGGCTGCAGCCCCGCCCCGGGCGCCGCCAGGCCCCGCCCGCTCCCGCTCCCGCTCCCGCCCACCTCCCCGCGCGGGCCTCCCCGCTCACCGGCGCCCGCGGGCTCCGGCGCCCGGCTGAGCAGAGGCCGGAGGGAGGCGAAGCGCACGAACTCCACGCCGGTGCCGAAGGCCAGCAGGAAGGACGCGAGCGCGGCCGGGACCAGCAGCAGCGCGGGGGCCATGGCGGAGCGCGGGCAGCGCGGGCTGGGGTTCCCGCGCCGCCGGCCCCGCCCCGCCCGCCGGCCCCGCCCCGCCCGCCGGCCCCGCCCGCCGGCCCCGCCCCACCAGCCCCGCCCGCAGACCCCGCCCCACCAGCAGGCCCCGCCCCACCAGCAGGCCCCGCCCCGGCCCCGCCCCGGGCGGCTCCCCTCCCCTCGCCTCGCCCGGAGCCGCCGCCCAGTCCCGCCGGGAAGCGGGGCTCCCCGGGGGCAGAGGGGGCGGCCCCGCGCCCCTCGCGGCTCGGTTCCGCGTGGCTGTCCCCCGGTGAGGCCGGGCTCTGCCCGGTGCTGGCGGAGCGGCCGCCCAGCCCGTCCGCCGCCCCAGCGGACCCGGCAGGCCCGGGAGGCGCAGCGGGCGCGCCGTGTCCCCAGCCGAGGCTGGGCCTTCTGGCGGGACAGACACGGAGCGTGTTGGGGTGCAAAGCTTGCTCACCGCCGCTGCAAAGGCGGCATGTTGACTTTATCCGAGCTTCTCATGCGCTGGAACTGGCCTCTGCACCCACTCATCGAACGCCACTTACTAATCGGAAACCTGCAGGATCTTTTGTGGTAATCCATTCCCTTTCAGACCTGTTTATAAGGCAGGCTACACTGTGAAAGCAAAATTTTCTCTGCCAGAGTTAAAAATCCGGTTTGGCTCAGTGGATAGAGCTTTGGCCTGTAGACTGAAGGGAGGGAATATATATAGATCCTAACTAATAACCGGGGGTTATGCAAATTGACCATCACTCCGTCACAAAGATGGCTGCACCCACAACTGAGGCCAAGTTCCCATAAGGAGCCTTAATGAGCAATCATCAGGGACAGCCCTCCCCCGCCCCCATGGGCTTGACAGGGAACCCCCCCCCCCATGGGCTTGACACCCTCCCCAGCCCCCATGGGCTTGACAGGGAACCTCAGGCTGCGTCCCCTGCCCTAGCACCAGGCGGGGGACCTCAGACCACACCCCACCCCAGCACCAGGCCAGGGTACCTGAGGCTGAGCCCCCTGCCTGGCTGGGCTTGATGGGACCTCAGGTGGTGCCCCCCACCCAGCAGAGCTTCACAGGGGACCTCAAGGTGCACCCCAGTGCTGGGTTGGGGGGACTCAGGCCGTGCCCCCCACCCCAGACCAGGCCAGAGGACCTCAGACTGTACCCCCGCCCACTGGCGTTCGACAGGGGACCTCAGGCCTCGCTCCCGCCCTGGCGCCAGGCCAGGGGACCTGAAGCTGCACCCCCCTGCCAGTGGGGCTTGTCGGGGGCCTGAGGCTGTGACACCTCTGCCTGGCAGGGTTAGACAAGGGTGGGAGTAGCCAGATCTAGCCCAATGGAGGCAGGGGCCAGCTGGGTCTGGGCCTCATGCGATTTGAGGTGCATGTGGGTGGGCAGGGACTTGACTCTGGGTCTTGTGGTTTGCCCCAGACTCTGACAGGAGGAAGGTTTTCATATACATTTTACTAATTTTCTTTCCTCTCTGACACTGCTACTATAGGGAAAGGGCAAAGAGCAATATTAAATTATTTCCTCTAATTGCCTTTTAATGTGCATGAATTTTGTGCATCAGGCCACTAGTATGTGTGTGTGTGTGTGTGTGTGTGTGTGTGTGTGTAAATCCTCACCAAAAGATATTTTTCCACTGTTTTTTTTTAAAATATATATTTTATTGATTTTGTACAGAGAGGAAGGGAGAGAGATACAGAGTTAGAAACATCGATGAGAAAGAGTCATCGATCAGCTGCCTCTTGCACACCCCTACTGGGGATATGCCCGCAACCAAGGTACATGCACTTGACCGGAATCGAACCCGGGGCCCTTCAGTCCCCAAGCCGACGCTCTATCCACTGAGCCAAACCGGTCCTGGCTTTCCACTGTTTTTTTAGAGAGAGGGAAAGACAGAAACACATCCATTGGTTTTCTCCTGCACTAACCCTGATCAGGCCTCGGGCTGAGGAGGAGCCTGCAACCGATATGTCGATATGTCGTGCCCTTGACCGGAATTGAACCTGGGACCCTTTGGTCACAGGCAGACACTCTACTGAGCCAAACCAGCTAGGCGTAAAAATATATATTTTTTAAAAGATTTAAAAAAAAAAGAACCTACTGCCGAAGCCGGTTTGGCTCAGTGGTAGAGCGTCGGTCTGTGGACTGAAAGGTCCCAGATTCGATTCCGGTCAAGGGCATGTACCTTGGTTGCGGGCACATCCCCAGTGGGGGGTGTGCAGGAGGTGGCTGGTCGATGTTTCTCTCTCATCGACGTTTAGAGCTCTCTATCCTCCCTTCCTCTCTGTGGAAAATCAATAAAATAAATAAATAAATAAATAAATAAATAAGAACCTACTCACAGCCTCTGCCTTTGTGAGCAGCACCATGGTGGTGGGCAAGAGCAAGTGCTCACAGAAGGTGGCAAAAAGGAACCAAGAAGAAAGTGTGTGATCCGTTCTCTAAGAAAAAGCAGCCTGCGTGAGAGTGCCAGCTCTGTGCAAGGCAAGGAAGATTGGGAAAACGCTAGTCACAAGGACTCAGGAACCGAAGTTCCATCTGAGGGCCTCAGGGGTCATGTAAATTGACCATCACTTCAACACGCAAATGGACCATCACTCCATGAGGGGTCATGTAAATTGACCATCACTTCAACACGCAAATGGACCATCACTCCATGAGGACCATCACTCCATGGCCACCACAAGATGGCCAGCAGGGGAGGACAATTGGGAGGGCAGTTGGGGACGATCAAGCCTTCAGGGGAGGGCAGTTAGGGGTGATCAGGACGACAGAGGAGGGAAGTTGGGGGCAACCGGGCCTGCAGGGAAGGGAAGTTGCAGGGGGACCAGGCCTGCACGGGAGGGCAGTTAGGGGCAAACAGGCTGGCAGAGGAACAGTTAGGCATCAATTAGGTTGTCAGGTGAGTGGGTAGGAAGTGATCAGGCTGGCAGGCTGAAGCGGTTAGGGGCAATCAGGAAAGCAGGCAGGCAAGCAGTTGGGAGCCAGCAGTCCTGGATTGTGAGCGGTATGTCTGTCTGATCCCTACCAGGATCGGGCCTATTCAGGCAGGCAGACATCCCTCGAGGGTGTCCCAGATTGGATAGGATACAGACTGGGCTGAGGGACACCCCCCGTGCATGGATTTTGTGCACCAGACCTCTAGTTTGTGATAAAAACAAAACAAAAAGAACCTACTCACAGCAGCTACCAACATGCGCAGGAGAGCTCCCCTTTGTGCATTTGGTATTAATAGGCTCTCTGGTTTTAGACAGTCCAATGACTGTGTCAGATCCCTTTGTGTTTTCTTATTGTAAACGTTAATTATAGAAAAGTCTTAAATTTACAGAAAAATTGAGAAGATAGTACAAAATTCCCTTACATTCTTCACTACTTAATTATTAATATATTAATTATATCCTACAATAATGAACTAATATTGATACCTTATTGTTAACCAAGAGTCCAAAATTCATTCAGTTCATTGAGATGTTTTTAGTATTTAAAAAAAAAAAATATATATATATATATATAAATTTGTGTAATTGGTACAAAATATTATATTAGTTTCAGGTGTTCAAACTAAATATATATTTATATATCTTACATTGGGATCACCCTATTAATCCTAGTTGTCATCTGTGGCCATGCAAACTTATCACAATCTTATCTATATATATAATCTATACTAAGAAAAGGATAATATGCTAATTAGACAGAGAGACCTTCCAGGACACCTTTTGAACGTCCTTCCAGAAAAAGCCATGGTAACAGGGTTGAGGCACAGGTGGTTAGGGGCGATCAGGCCAGGAGGGGAGGGCAGTTGGAGGTTAACAGGCCAGCAGCGGGAGCAGGGGGGCACAGTTGGGGATGAGAAGGTGGTGGTGGGGGCACAGTTGGAGGCGAGCATGTTGGCAGGCAGAATAATTAGGGACGATCAGGCAGGCAGCCAGGTGAGCAGTTAGGAGCCAGTGTCTCAGATTGTGAGAGGGATATCTGACTGCCAGTTTAGGCCCAAACCTCAGGAGGGTGCAGGCTGGGCTGAATTTTGTGCACCGGGCCACTAGTGTGTGTGTGTGTGTGTGTGTGTGTGTGTGTGTATAAAAGCCTAATATGCAAATTGTCCCCTTGGGAGTTCGACCGGGAGACTGGGCGTTCGATCACTTGCTATGATGTGCACTGACCACCAGGGGCAGTGCGGAATGAAGGAAGTCCCTGGCCGACAGCCAGAAGGCCCCAATTGGCCCTAATCACCCACCAGGCCTAGGGACCCTCTTGAATTTCATGCACTGGGCCTTTAGTCTATATATATATATATATATATATATATATATATATATATATATATATATATATATATATAAAAGCCTAAGCAATCATTTGACCATTTGGTCCCTATGACACGCACTGACCATCAGGGATGCTCAAAGCAGAAGCTTCCCCCTGGTGGTCAGTGCGCTCCCACAGCTGACTGATGAGCACCAGATGCAAGGCTGGCGAGTGCAGCTGCTGCAGCTTGAGCCTCTCCCATGGAACCCCCCCTGTATGCCCCTCCCCCATCTGGACCCAGACCGGGATTGGCATTGGGAGAGACACAGCGAGTTCGAGGCTGCTTCTCAGTCATGGGAGCGCCAATATCGCACTAGGGCAAGCGCACAGAGCCTGCAGGGGACCAGCAGCGAGCCTACCGAGTGGCACAGGCACAGCTGGGCTGGATGAGCGGGAGCGCTGCGCCAGGCTTGGCTCCTCCCGGCCGCCTGCTGCTTCGCGCACCACTACACACTCAGGGGATGTTGGACTGCCAGTTTCAGCCGATCTCCGCAGGCCACGCTGAGGGCCCCCACTGGTGCATGAATCCATGCACCAAGGCCTGCTTTCCAAGCCCCAGACCCATAATGAGGTCAGGCAAAGACTCAAAGCCGTCAGAGATCTGCCTTACTGTTATCCGCCTGGACTGGCCTTAGGCCAGTGGTTGCCAGTGGTCCGTGAGGTCCGAAAGGTTGGC